CGGGCCGTCCGTCCTGGCAGCCGCCTGCGGGCCGGTCCTGCGTCCCGGTCCTGCGTCCCGGGCCTCCCGCAGCGACCTCCCCCCCATCCCCCCCCCGGGCGCATCAGCCCGGCCTCGGGGCTCCCGCTGTGCCTCCGGGTCCGCCTCGGTGACGGCGCCGGGGCGGCTGGAAGCCTCCGAGGCGGCTCTCCCCGTGCCCCGGGGGAATGCCGGCCGTGCCCCGGCTGCCTCCCCGCCCCACGCCCTGTCACTTCGCGCCCGGCTGCCTGTCACCGCCGACACCCGCTCCCCGCGCCGGGGTGTCTCGTCAGGCCCGAGGCCTGAACGGGGCCGGGGGGCGGTGAGCCTGCGGCAGGGGAGCTCGCCGTCACCCCCAGGCCGGGCCTGGCGCTCCAGCCTCCCTGCCGTGCTCCCTGCCAGCCCGGGCTGGTGGCCGGTGACAAAGCTGGCCGTGTGGTTGGGGTCAGAACCACAGTCAAGGTAGCTCTGGACAGCTGCGTTCCCTGCCTTGCGCTGTAAATGCCTGGAAGGAGAGGTCTGCGGAAAATGGATGTTCTTAACACTGAATAGGAGCTTGTGTCAAACCAGTATGTTTCCGTTTTAGGTTAAAATGAAATAATACAGTGAATTGTTGCGGTCCACCCGCCATGATATGGTTGAAACTGTAGGCTGCTTTGTCTAAGAACTTGCACTGAGTTTTTTAGATTGGGTATGTAACCTATTTTGCTGTCACAGATGGTTACAAACAGAAAATAATATACGGAAAGGATTCTCCAACAAAGTAACGTTATCTGTAAAGTTACTAGGGCTACATTGTATTATATATTTGCATAATATTTCGGAGTTGTTTAATAAAAAGCTATTTGTGTTTTTCAGTTCTGCCTGTTAAGTCTTTGTTTTTGCTTTTCTTAACAGTGACTGTGTTCTTAAGCACTTTGACTCCGAAATTCTACTTTGCCCTTACAGTGACTTCGTCTTTTATATCTGGACTGATATTTGTAAGTAGTCCACTTTTATTTTTTTAAACAACTATAGCACCTCTAAGGTGCTTTCATTAGGGGTAACTGCAATTGGCTTTTTTTTGATCAGACTCTAGAGGGTGCCTTTGTACTAGGAAGGAACTTGTTTAGTATCTTCTTTTGCTATGTGTGTTGTACGTTGGGGTGAGTCTAAGGAAAATAACTTGCGCTTGTTTTGGAAACTAAGGCTTGTTTTAAGGAGGTATGTGTCCATATATAGGTATACATATATGTGCGTATATACATAGATGATACATTAAAAATGCAAAATATATGTGCAAACTGTGCAGACCTCTCTGTGTAAAGAAAACACTGAGATTTTTATCTCTTTTAAACTACATAGTTAAGAGTTTAGCTTTCCACAGTAATTTTGGGGGGGCTTTTGTGCATGTGTCATCATGTAACTATCTTAACTTCGGTGTGAAAATGAGCCAATAATTCAGCTCATCTTCAGATGACAGTGTGCACAGACATGGCTGACTGCACGAAATGAATGGGGCACACTTGCATGCTCAGTTCTGCTAGCACAGCTGTTTCTGCAGTGATGATCATCTGACCCTGATGCAGACTGTGGCACTACATACAAATCTTTTGGGTTAGTCTTTATTTTCAGTATTAAAAGCTAAAGAAAACGTCTCTTCTCGTCAATTAAACCTATTTACCAGAATATGCAAAATGTGTTTCATAGGTGATTTTTTTTGTAGCCACCATTTAAAAAAAAAAAAAAAAAGGTGTTTTATTTATGTGGTAGAAACAACTTGTTTGCTGTAATGTTGCCTGGGTTTTGATTGAAGGATCTGAGGAAAGTCATATATAGAAGTGGATTCTGCTTGTGATAGGTCTTTTGCATAGGTTTGCTCTTAAAAGAAAAAAAAGTGGTTATTGGTCAGTCCCTATTTATAGTAATGCTTTTTAACAAATAATATAGTTTGTGTAAACATTGCCTCTTTCTGCATGCTAATAAAAATACTCCTAAGTTGGTCCAGGGCTGACAGTGTGGTATAGTGCTTGAGGACTTGTGACATTTAGGTATTTTTAATAGCTTCAAAGGGAGAGAGTGTAATATTTTTGACCCAAAATTTCTGGTAAGTGAACTTAATTCAGCTTTTTCTCTTTGGACTTTTCTGAATGGCAGAACATGTTAATTTAACCGTCCATTTTGTGCTTTATTCTTTTAGATTATTTTTGTGAAATGAAAAAGCTACACCTGTCTTGAGGTTCTTGTCTCTATGCACAGTTTCCCTATCCAGGCAATTTCTGACAGGGTTTAGAGGTTATACTAATGATTGGGGGGGAGGACCATATGTTTGACTAAAATTTTACTGTTTTGGGTTTGGTTTTTTTTTTCAGTCTTGCTATGTGCGTGATCCTGCATGACAACAGAGGTCAAAACCAATAATTGTTAATTTTTATGTGTATAAGTTCCATCTATAGTAATTTGCAAGGGGATGTACTAGTTGTGAACAATTGGCTCTTAATTTCTGATGTTTGTGTTGGAAGGGTGTCACCTAAGGAAATTTCTGGTGCTTTTTTCTCCTGTGACAGGTGTTTGAGTGGTGGCATTTCCGAAAATACGGCACATCTTTCATTGAGCAGGTTTCTGTGAGTCATTTGAGGCCCCTCATTGGTGGTGCAGAAAACAGCCCTCCAGCACCAGCAGCATTCTCTGCTGGAGAGAATGAGACAAGCAGGCAGAATATGCCAGGTGATTGTTAATGTGTCCCAGCAGTTTTCCTTAAGCTTCAAGGCAGCTGATTCACAGGAACTGGCTTTTAAATGGTTTTGACTTTCCATTAGTGTAGTCCTTGTAAGAACTGGAGAAAGGCCTACGTCTTACAAAGTGCTTTATTAATAATGGTAAAAATAAACTAAATAATAATGTATCTTTGATCTACATCATTCATTATTAAAAATATGATTTAGAAAATATATTACACATTTAGCTAAAACTGTTTCAGTAACATCAGATATTTACTATTCTGAATGTTTGCAAGATAAACATTGTATGAGTATAAATGGCAGTGCTTAATCTTTCCACCAGCAATGTTGGGGAGCAAAAATATTTCTGGGATAGCAGAAGTTTATGAAGAAGATGATCGTATGATTGTGCTCAGGTTGTATAACAATAAAATTAAAGGAGCTTTTGAAAGTAAAACTGCATTTGCGTTACTGCATTTTAAAGTCAAGGTAGTATTTCCTATGCTCTTCATTCAAAAAGTACCTTTTTTTTTTTCCAGAGTGCAAAGTGTGGCGAAATCCTCTCAATCTTTTCAGAGGAGCAGAGTATAGCAGGTATTAATTATCTTATTTACCATTGCATATTTTTTTAAATTAGTTGGGGGCATACACATGACTTCTTCACAGAGCTTACACTAGGAATATCAGGAGATAGCTGGGGCCTGCAAGATTATAGGGGTGATTGATGCCAATCCTATGTTTAAAAGGCACCTATCCAAGCTTTGGCAGTTTCAGTGTTAAGAATGCAAATATCACTGCAACATCATCAGGTTTTTTGAGAGTAAAATAGGAGAAAACTTTATTCAGAGATTGAGACAGTGATTCTGAATCTAAATTCTCTTTTATTAAACTGATACGGCTGTATTGTAAGTCTCCTTGTGTTATTTCATAGGAACAGCTGCTTCCTAGGAAGCCAGTTCCCAAGCTGTTTAGAACTTTACAACCTGTACAGATTATGGAACAGTAGTACTTGAAACTTCTGGTTAGTAGCTCCTGCCTTCTATTAATAAAAATTTTCTGCACTAGCTTTGGTTGTTAGGCATATCAGGTATCCCCCTTGGTATCAGCATTACTATTTACTAGGAGTGCGTCTTACTGAAATTTCTCCCGTTCAAGATACATGTGGGTGACTGGGAAGGAGCCTCTTACATACTATGACATGAATTTGTCTGCTCAAGATCATCAGAACTTTTTCACATGCGATACAGATGCCCTTCGGCCATCAGATACAGGTACCAATGTCGTATGTGTAAGATGTATAACTGTTGGAGAGTGTAAAGTGGGTATTTTTAATATATTTCAAGGCAGTGCAAGCTATTGTGTCAGATACTTTGTGAAATGATAGCCTTTCCAACTACTAAGGAGGTTTAATAGATGTATGTAGTGAAAAGATGGTTTTTTTTACCTTGTGCTTTCTCTACTAACTTTAAGGCTGTCAGGATCCTGACATATTTTAAGATCTCACACTTTTCAAATAATTAACAACACAATATTGAAAACCTGGATTGTATTCTCAACAGCCAAAGATGTGGTCTCATTTAAACCTTAGTAATGAATAGCGCAGTCTCCAGAATTCTTTCGTTGTGTTCCACATGTTTAGTGCAGAAAGTGTTCTCTACCTGGTTATTGTCAGGCTGGGTGCGAGCTATTGTCAATTTGTCAAGTTCCGGAAGTGTTACTTGTCAGCTGGCTGTGACATGCTTGATATGAATGATGTGTTTTTGTTTCACAAAATGGAGTGTATTGTCTCGCTTGCTAAGCCAAGACTAATATTTTGTTTCCAAAAGAAAACTCAAACATTTTTCCACTTTACTCTTGCTGGACAGCAGAAGGTTTTGTTCCAAAAGAAACATGTATAGATTCTTCAGTTTTCTTATCGTACTTGAGATAGGCCAGATATGTAACTCCATGAACGTAAGGTTTTGGAGTTCTTTTAGAACTGTAATTTAGTGTGAAAGCTATTAGTTCTGCACAGAAAATGGTAGCTCCAAGTATGTTGTTTTTCTTTTGCTAGAAGTTGGGTTTCGGTTTGGGATTTCCATTTTTCCCCAATGGAAACGTAATGGAGAGGGGTGTAGAGTCATTGCATTGAACTTTTGTTTGGTCTTTATCTGACCGTAATTTTGAATTGAAGTTTAATTCAAACGGCCCCTTTGAATAGATAGATTTTACCTTTTTTAATTGTTTCCTAGAACACTTTCTAACAAGGTGATAAATTATTATAGTATATCTTGAATTGGCTTTGCCATGTTATGCCACTCAAATGTGCTTTGTAAATTTAAAAAGAAAATTTTTAACCCTTTATGATCTGGTAGTTGTTTAAATACTTAAGTATGAAACTATACCTGTGCAAGACAGAGCTTACTCTATCATTGTTTTCTTTGAAGTTCTGTTTGAAAGCTTAAATTAAAATTCTGTGCAGGTCCGTGCAAGAACCTGTGTTTAACAATTGCTCCTGCCAAGCTTTCAACAAGTCTTGGGAAGTGTTTCCAAAAATCTGTAGCAATTTAGAAATTGTACATCTGCCTGGTTGTGTAAGCTGTCTTTGCTTCTCAGTGTAGGAGTTCTTAAATGGTCAGTGAATAATCTTACTGGTGGTGTTGCTTTCTTAAACTAAATTTGGGGCGTAATGAGAAGTTGCAAGATTCTGCTGTTTGTGGTAGAAACTCATGCTGGAATTAAAACACTTGTTTACTCTTTCCCGTAACAATCATATAGCAAACAGGAATTTGCAAAATGGAAGTGAATGTTAATGTAGAGCTGAGGCATAAGCAGCCAGCATTGCCTCCACTGGCTCCCAGGTGTTTCGCCAGTGTCTCTGTCCCTCACCAGCCTTTCAATGTTTTTGCAACAGTTATGCAGAAAGCATGGCGAGAGAGAAACCCTCAAGCCCGGATTAAAGCAGCGTATCAAGCTTTAGAGTTGAACAATGAGTAAGTTTAGAATATAAGTTCAATTGCTGTATTTCTAGTGTGAAAGATTAAGCGGAACGATATTGAGCATGCTATCAGTTTCTTGTTCTAATAATTTACTTTTAGTAAAGTTCTGAATAGCTTAAGGGGAACTTCCGTGACTGAGAATTGCACACGGGGCTGTCAGTTGCACTGAAGTATTGAACTGTTCTATAAAAAAAATAGCTTTTGTTCTCCCTTTTTCTTGGGAAAGATTTTTTTAAAAAAATTTTTGTATCAGTAGCAATAACAAATGAGAAATCTTATTCAGATGTGGAGCAGTCTAAATTGGATATGAGATTGTATGGCTTTCAGAGATGGCATTGTGGTAATACTGTATTTGGAGTTCATAAATGCCACTCCAGTAAGGGGTTTAAAAATACTCTTGTAACACAAACCAAAGAATTTCACACCCTTCCATGATCTGTTTTGTCATGTAGTCGTCTTGTTTTTGTGTAAAGTGTCTACCTCCTGGTTTTAAAAAAGCAAAGCAAACTAAACACAAAAAACCCTTCTCCAGACAATTACCAGAGCGTTTTTAATATTTCAAGGAAAATAATTTGACTTGCTGTTACAATTCTTTCTTTTGTTCTTTCTCCAAATGTGTGTTTTTTCTGTAAAATGGAAAAGGTTTCTGTTTTCCTGACAGTCACTGTTTGCACTCAAGTCAATATTTTGGTACTTTAATGTTGTCAATGCTTAGATATTAAACATAAGTGAAAACTGCCCATTTCTAATGCTTTTAACACTGATTCAAAAAATACTAAACTTTGTCCCTCAGAATAATTAGTGCGTTTTTTTCCTTATTACAGTTGTGCCACTGCATATGTCCTCCTGGCTGAGGAAGAAGCAACAACTATTGTGGATGCTGAGAAGTATTTCAAGCAGGCTCTGAAAGCAGGAGAAATGATTTACAGAAAGTCTCAGAACTGCCATTCCCAAAGCCCCCAGCATGAAGCACAGCTGAGTAAGGACTTTTGAATGGCATGAACTCTTGTTTTTATGTGAGCAGAAATGTAAAACTAAAGTTATAGTTAGTGATTCTAGTTTGATTCCCAGTTCAGTGAGGCAGTTCCTACTATTTTAGCCATGCTTATGCTTGACGTGCTATGTGATCTTTTGTAATACCTGAATGAATCTTCGGAAGTGGCAGTTATGCTGTGTCTTCATCGTGGGTTGCCTCGCTAAGGCTCAGTACATTATTGTCATGGAAAGTTAGATAGGTGGAGCAGATTAATGAAGCAATTAGTGTGTGTCAGTAGCACCTTGTTTTATTCCACCCAACATTTTGGAAAAAAACCAGAATTTTTTTGTCATTTAACCTAGTTAAAAGTTGCTGGCATTCATCTAGATGGGCCTTGATTGGGACAGCAGTAGTAATTATTTTCTGCTTTTACATGTGGTTAGGAAAAAGGTGGTGGGGTTTTTGGTGGGTGGTTGGTTTGGGTTTTTTTTGAGAGAGGGAAGGAGAGATAAGGATTGAAACTGATATACTAATCTTTTTTTATCTTTGTTATCAGGAAGAGACACCAATGTATTAGTGTATGTGAAAAGGAGACTAGCTATGTGTGCAAGAAAACTGGGAAGAATACGAGAAGCAGTAAAAATGATGAGAGATGTAAGTAAAAATTTAAAAAATTGAGCAACTGTTGTTTTCAGTCACATTGTCCAAATTGATGGTTTATAGTTCTTTTCTAGGTATCATAATTAATGTAATTGAATTATTTTCCAATGAGATTTGCACATCATGATTCTTTTTTTTTTTTTTTGAGAACAGTTTTTCTGGTTCCTACATGTAGGTTTTAGATTTTGTATTATATGATGTCATATGTTCACAGTTCTGTTGTCTGGTTTGCTTCATGCTTGACTCGGCAACTAACTTGTCAAAACAGCCAACTTTAGACTTCATCATAATTTTAGTTTCACTTGCCCAGGGTTTATCATAAGTTCTTTTTTCATAGGAAAATATTACTGACCAAACCAACTCACTGTGGGAGCTGTGCAAATTTGGCCTGAGAGCATGTTGTATACTTAGACTCAGTATACTTATTTTCCAGTAGGTGAATGTAGGAAAAAAGTAAGGTAGAAATGATGGAATTCTTTTCATGCTGCTTATATGTCAGTTTCTAATACTGTGAAAGAACAGAACATTGAAAAAGCTTAAATTATTGTACTGATTTCTATTAAGTATTTCAGGGATTCAAGTGCAATTCTATATCTGCTTAATTTATTTCTCTTTATTGATTTGCAGTTGATGAAAGAGTTTCCACTTCTCAGCATGCTGAATATTCATGAAAACCTCCTGGAGGCACTGCTGGAGTTACAGGCTTATGCAGATGTCCAGGCAGTTTTAGCAAAGTATGACGGTAAGTGATGCCTAATGGGAAATACTGGTGGTTTTGTATAAGAGTATAGGTGAGGTAGGCAAGGTGTGCCTGTCCAAAAGCAGATGTCTACCCATGATCTCAGCTAGTTGACTAGATTCCCTTCATTGGCAACCAATACGCGCTTCCAGAGTGCAAATCAAATTTTTTTCTTTCGAATGATGAGGTCAAGTTTAGGCAAGATAAATTGCTTTTTATTATTAAAATTACTTTTTATGTTTTTAATTCTAATCTGTAAAAAAATCTTGCAGCTCGCTTTGCTTCAATTCAAGGATTATTTTAGTTTTTTAATCTCTTCTACATCCCTAGTTATGCCTAAATTCATCAGCCTTTTTCAGTCAGCACATAGGCCTCTAAGTAATAGATGTAAATAAGCTGGAAAAGGTAGTTTTCCCTTCTGTAATCTTCCAGGCTTGGCCTCATGATTCTGTAATACTGAGGGTGCTTGCCAGAGATTAGCAATGTGCAGGCATACTGCTTGCCAGAGATGAGTGGTATGCAAGCTTTGGTCCATTAAATGGCAGTAGTTTACTTTCACTTTCCATCTCAACTAATACATTTCAGGTGTTGTGCAAGTCTAGATAAAGGTTAATAAAATATATACTTATTTTCTTATTGTCCTCAGAGTTTTGCCACCTAGGTATTGCCCACATCACTAGTGTACAAAGTGCTGCTGTCAAAGCTGTCCCTTATATCACCTTCAGAATGGAGGGACGTAGAAGCAGTATTTTGTGGCAATCATTCCGTGCCCTTGAGAAGTTGGTATGTTCTCCCTTGTGCCTCTGTTCTTTATTGCTTCAGGGAATCCAAAGTAGGATATTCTTGCCCAAACCCTGTGCCCCTTGTGCGTGGCCACCCTAGCAGCCTGCTCCTGTTACTTGACTGTCCGTGTTGTTCTGTGTGGATTCTTACTAATTTAACAAAACCATTTACTCTTTTCCTGGTGCTTCTTTATGTTAACATCAGGAATTGTGACACTTTCTTAAGAAAGGGCTGCTGATTTTTTTTTTCCTAAGCATCTGGAAAAATGAGTATGAGCTTCAAACTCCCTGCAGCAGCACCCCTGTGTTTTGCTTGACACGACAGCCAGACTTCTAATAAGTGATGGACAAGCCCAGAATGGGATTTACAAAAAAAGCAAGAGCCATCTGACTATACACAACATGGTACTTGGGAATTAGACCCCAGACTTTGTCTGCTTTTAAAGTAAACTTGTACTGTGGAGTGCTAACCTTCTAATCTGTAATTGTCAGCTCATACTTGGCCTCAGATATTCTACAAAACCTACAAGTAAAAGATTTTTTCCCCATGGAACTGGAAAAGAATGGAAATTGCATTTTCATTAAAATTTGTCTACCTGTCTGTAATGTAATTTTTTTGGTCAGCTTCTAGTCAGTCTCTTTCAGTATTGTGTAAAACTCTGTGTTAATGTACAGTTGCAAAATTAGGTAAAGATTAGAAGCTTATTTTAAACCTTCATGGGTTAATACAGGAAAAGTACACTGTTCTTAAGTGTGTATTTATACATGCATTTCTCTTTGAACTCAGTTTCAGTGTCTTCGTGTGTTTAGAAAAAAAAATTACTGTTTTACACCTAACTATGACTCGTGTGAGTTTTTAGTCTGAGACTGACTGGTGACCAGAAAGAAGACTGTCCAAAGAAATTCAAAGTTTCTAATCATAGCTGAAACATTCCAGATGTTACATTCGTTGTCTGGTATACCCAAGTAAAAATCTTTAAGCTCAAAGGATGTGGGTTTAAAATGTTTGTCTTTCCTTAGAATCTTACAGCTTAATTATTTTATTTTATCATAGATATCAGTCTTCCAAAATCAGCAGCAATATGTTACACAGCAGCCCTGCTAAAAGCCAGAGCTGTTTCAGAAAGGTAAGCAAGCACATCTGTGAAAACAGTGGTTTGCTACTAATCTTGGGTTATGCTGTAAAATATGAATTAAAAAGGACTAAAGCCAATATGTAGCAGTTACATTTCTAAAAGCAAATTAAGTGTATTTATCTATACATATATGTGTGTAGTTAAACGTAATTTAAAGTTTCTTTTAAGCATCCATAAAGTTAATACAGGTGAAGTTGTTTTTCAAGAGCCCATGTACACGCACGTGCTTTTGTATAAATTTTATTTTCAGTGTCTTGCTTGTGATGTTCAACAGTTCTTTGTTTTGTGGATTGGGTGCAGGATATTTGTGGTGGTTCATGTTGGCATTTCACTTTTGTTCTGGTCTATTTGCACAGCTGATTCTAGCTTTACTTCCAGGTAGGTGATGCTGTAACAATCATGGGCACTCAATTACCTTACGTGATTGACATGAAGTTTCAAAAAGTTAAATATAACTTTGTCATATGGGCATGGATGACAGTCCAGATACCTAAATTAACACGAAATTTGTTTCCTAAAAGGGTTTGTTTATCTTTCTTGATAAATAAACCAATTTTTAATGAACTCCAATCTTACAATGCAAATAAATGCCTGGTTAGAATTTATTATTTATTACTTTTATTCCGTGTGGGTTTTTCCCTTCAGGTTCTCCCCAGAAACTGCCTCCAAAAGAGGGCTTAGTACAGCAGAAATTAATGCTGTGGAAGCAATTCACAGAGCTGTGGAATTTAACCCTCATGTTCCAAAGGTAAGAGTATTTTATTTCCTATTGGACCACTTTTTATTGTCTTCTGTCTAGTTATGTTATCATTTTGTTATTGGAGTCTTCCTAGCCCCATGTTTTCTTGAAGTTGATTGTAACTCCAGCCATTGCGTTGTTAAATGTGCTAGTATTTATATCATAAATGTTTGGTGGCCAGAATTAGTTGTTTGCAGTAAGTGATAATCAAACGGGGTTTTTTGCAAAAAATTTGAATTCAAAATTTTCTAACTTGTTGGAAAATCCAGTAATGTATTAATGAAGTCCCTTTATTGGGTAAGGGTAAGCATTAATAAATGTAAATTTAGATATTTAAAATCTCTGAAGCCAAATTAAGTTCTCCAAACAATAACCACTCATAGTACTGTGCTTCCAAGCATGGCTTCAGAACTCGGGTTATTGAAAGATCTACAGTCACTTATTTTCTTCATCCATGTGTAAACAAGATTAAGAGTCAGTATTGCTACAGGCTGTAATTTAATGTCTGGCATTACTTGAAGTGGCCAAGATACAGATTCCACTGAGCATTGGGTGAAAATAAAATCTTATATTGCTTTTTACTGTACTAGTATTGGTGATGCATTTGGTTTGAAACCTTGAATACAGAAGGTTGGCTTAGTCCTGGACCTAATCCTCTGCAAATGATCATGGAGTCCCAGTGACTATTGCAGTGAAGGCTCGAATTATCCAGCCACTCTATTCTGTCTGCCTGTCCAATCTAATAGAATGTGCACTGAGGAAGCTAATTGCTGGGAGAAATTGCTGCTTGTTTGCATGACTGATCAAGAGCGTAGCAAGTTCATTTCAGACAGTCTCAGACAGATTTTTCTTTAGCCTCTGCCTTTAGGGGAAGAAGATTATAACGCATTATCTACAAGTTCTTTTATTTTGTATATCCTCCAGTTGTTTCAGGAGCCTCGTATACCTTTTTAAAGAAGTTAGATATAATTTCAAACAGGCTGTTTGCAAAATATGTTCCGCAGTTCTACAATCACAGAAACTGATTCTAGTTACAATAATTTGATCTTCTCTTCTAACTGTATACCTATCCCAACATCTTCATGATTTTTTTTTTTTAATTATGATATTGCCTTGAAACACCAATTTATTAGATGGCAGGGCAGAATTTTATTGGTGCTGGCTATCTAGAGCTGTGAAATGCTCATAGTCAAAGCAAACAAGTAAACAAGGGCACAAACAAGTGAAGTAACTTGCCCAATGGGTTACAGTGGAGTAGTGGGGAAGAAAATCTGAGTTTCAAATTTGCAGTCAGTTCTGTCCCATGGACTAAAAGTAAATGAGTATGTAAAGTAGAAATTCCTTTGTTCTTGCATGTGATGAAAGTGGTTGTCTTTGCATATAACATCATTTTGCATAAGGAAAATAAAATAATGTTTGTTTCTCTTTGTTCTGAGTTATGCTTTTACAAGGATGGGTTTTGTTTGGAAAGTTAGGAAGGCATTTTACAGTGCTGGAAAATGGTACTCTTAAGCCATTTCAAACTGGAGATCAGTAACTACATTTTGATAATGTATGAAACAATCTTTTCCCATCATCTTCTGAATATCTTACAAATTTTTATTGTGTATAAAGACTTTCTTAAATCTGCAAAACCCAAGATATTTTCAGTAGTGATATCTTGCCTGTTCTGTGGGTAAATGTGGACGTGAAAATTTGCCAGGCTGTGGAATTTTTCTGTATATGTGGTAGCATGGGCACAGAGACAGCCAAAGCCTGGAGTTCACCATTGACATGTTGTGGCAATGCTTGCAGTGGGGCTTCATCACCACTATTGTGTTCATATTCCCTTGCTCTCTGCGCAGTTAGTACAATGGAAGAGTGGGCACTACAGAGAGCATGAGGAGTCAGGTCAAGGGTCAGATATTTGAGACCATTTTCCCACAGCAGCCCTGTGTGAGTGATCCTTTACTGTGTTAAAAAAAAAAAAAAATTAAAAAAAAAAAATTGAAGAGGATTAGAGGGGATTAGCAAGAATATTACCCTCTGGAGTGTAGGCCCAAGGCACTAAGAGAAGAACCTAGCCAGGCAGTAAATGTGCTTTATTTGGCGAGGGCACAACCCCTCCTACATTCCTTCAAGAATCTGAATGGGAAAAGTTAAGTCCTCAAACTGGATTAGTAAATAATCTCATAGTTTGTGGCATCTGCTGAAATAAATCGGCGAGTTAGCTGCATTCTTACACTTTGGGAGACAGTCAAAGGAATGGCCAGCTACATTGATCAAAGATGTGGATTAACTTGGGCTGTTATTGAATGAGACACTATATGCTAGGAGAGAACAACTCACAGGTAAATACTAGAGCTGAAACTGTCATTTCATTCTTGTAAAAATTACTCATCTGTTTTTAAAAGTGAAGTTCAAATGAATACCTGTCTTTTTTTAATGTACCATGAGAAAACAAAATTGCATGTCCTGTGTTTCAAGGGAAATGGAAAATGATTAATCCTTGTCTTCTTTGACCCTTCTGTGCATCACATATTCTGCTGATGTAGGGAGAAGGCTGAAATTGAAAAACTCTGAAATCAGAGATACTTTGTGGTAGTCCAGAAAAACCACATTAAACCAAGATTTTTTGTGGGTTTGGTTTATTATTCTTCCTTTGGTTAGCATACTGACACTTTCTGGTTTTCTACTCATACTCGAGAGCTAACAAGTACTTAGTCTCCTACATTGAAACTTTGAGTGATTAAATGATGAGCAAAAATACCGTTGTTTTGTTTTGGTTTTTTTTATCAGTCTAAACTTGTATCTTATTGGTAGTGTACCTGTGGCATTATACTTTATGTATATTGCACAAGCATGTATTTTATTTTGCCTTACTGGAGATGCTTTTTTCCGCTGATATTTTGTGTGTGAAAACCCCAATTTAAGAGTCTTATACATGGATGTGCGTTTTGCTGTTTTTCGCTTCCCATGTGAGTGCAGGCTGTCTGCACTGTGTCAGGATTGGGCTGTTTCTTCAACAGGTGGAAGTTGGCCCCTGTGCGATATGCTCAGTTATGCCTCAAATGATCATTTATGTTTCACAATTAAACATTTTGGAATATTCTATGTAACCAAGTATGCTTTCCATTTTTACTTTCAGTATTTACTAGAAATGAAAAGCTTAGTGCTACCTCCAGAGCATATTCTGAAACGAGGGGACAGTGAGGCAGTAGCATATGCTTTTTTTCACCTCCAGCACTGGAAGAGAATAGAAGGGGCTCTAAATCTGCTGCACTGTACATGGGAAGGCAGTAAGTATCTCTCCTTGTTTTATTTTTTCTGTACAGTAGACTAATCTCTCTGCCTTTATTGACCTCAAACATGATTGGTTCTCTTTGTGAGAAGCTTGTCGCTTGGTTTAGATACAGATCTAATGTCACTCACTCTTTTTTCAGCATTTAGGATGATCCCATATCCATTAGAGAAAGGTCATCTTTTCTATCCCTATCCGAGTTGCACAGAAACAGCAGACAGAGAGCTGTTGCCAAGTAAGTGGTTTCTAAGCAGTAATGATAATAAAACATAAGCTAAGGACATGTTCAGTTTGTGATATTCTGTATTTACCTTACTGTGATTTTTTTAGTTTGAGCTTCCTGTGAAGGGGATTCAGCTATTTGTTGATGTCCCTCCCAAACGATCCTGAAGCACTTGACGTGTGTGTGTGGTAAATGTTAGCTTGATTCTGTAATAACATAAGTCCTTCAAAGATGAAGTCTGTGTGTGGTACATTCAGACTAAGTTTGGCCAACTTTGAGAACAACAAAATGGACTGGTTCTTTAAATTACTTTTAAAAGAAGCCATGGATTTGACTACTGTTGTAGAGGAGTCATTTCCTTTTAGCAAGGAATAAATGCATGGTTCCAGTCCTGCCTTTGGGTGTCTAGCAGAACGTGTCTGTGATTTTAGGGAGATTCCTTTGTTAATCGATAGCTTCGTAGAATATGTATTGCTTTCTGTCGTTAATTCATTAGTACATATTTGTCTGCTAGACAGTATGCTTCCTGGAACTTTTTACCTGTGTAGATATTTCTATGGCTTTATACTAACACTTGACACTGAAAAGTAAGACTTGTCCAGCTGCCGATTACTTCAAGATTACTTTATGTAATTATGAGCCTACATCTTTTTTTCTTTAGGTAAGGCAAACAAATGAAATCACTAGGGCCTGTGCTCATCATATTTAGGAAAATAGCATTAATTTAGATTAGAATTGGACTGTTAGTTGTACATGTTAATAGAATTCCTTTGGGGGTGAACTTCTACATCATGAAGAAATGCAAGTCCCACGGGACTGGAAAGGGCTACTGCAAAAGCGACAGCAGACCCACTGAGACCACAGCTGTGGAAAGGAAAACTACACATACATGTTTCTATTTAAAAGCCTGAAGTTATATTTAAAATGTGTAATTTAAAGTTGCCCCCAGACTGCTTTAAATTACTCATTTCTCACTTATGCAGGATATTGCACAAGGAATTCCTTGGTTAGCAACTAACCCTAAATTGTAGACTTCCCAGCATAATTAAACACCAACGCATGCAGATATTTCAACACGATCACTCACACATTCCTGTTATGTTTTAAATATAAAGCTACCCATAAATAAAATCATCTTAACACTTTTATTGCAGTACTTCCTCAAGAAATCTTGACACTTAATTTTTTAAAATTTATCTATTTAACATAATGTTGACCAAATCAGTCATGCAGAAATCCTGTATTGATGTGACTAGTAACAGTTCTCAAATGGCTGTGAACATACAGAATTCTCTTTAGTTGTCCTTACCTATTTCGGATTTGATTTTAATTTTCCAATGTAGGATAAACTAGTGCAAAAAAAAACCTTCCTTTTTTTTTTTTTTTTTTTTTTACACTTTCCTATCTTACACTGGGACCTTTCCTAAATTATATTGCTCCATGTTTTAAAAGTCAGGTGAGTTTCTACATGGTATGAGAGCATAACAGTGTTCCATAGTAGACAAGTAGTTTCTTTGGTTGCTCAGTAAAGAGGACTGTGTTGCTATCGTACTGTATCATGACCTAGTAGGGCTGGTTGCATGTTAAGAAGGTGAACTGATAATCTCTGGGATAACATTAAACACCTCTGATGGGCATTAGACATGGAACTCTGAATGTTCTACTAAATTGTGCTCCAAAATCATGTACTTAAAAGCAAAACAAAATCCAAGCACTTTGCCATTAATGAGTTGCAAGAGCACAAGCCACTTTTGCTGGGCTCGCTGTTACAATGGTAGCTTTCATGTGCCAGCATTCAGAAACAGTAACTGAGAGGGTAAAGTGTCTTTTTCCTCCTCAGACTTCAGATTAAAAATGAATACAATTGTATATTCTTGTTTTACGAAAAGGCTTACTTAAATTCTGAGGCTTTTGTTGGATTTTTAAAAACAGCTTGTCAAGAAGTGTGCAGCCCTTTCATAATTACTTATGTCTATAGAAACTTTTTTTTCATCATTTAAAAACCCTTTAAAATCATTGGATAAAAGTCGGAGCTGCAGGTATTCAGAGCCAGTAACTAATTGCAAATTCACCAAACAGGTCCTCAGCTGGTAAGCAGTAGTAGTGTCTTGAGTGCTGAAAGCTCCATATGCCAGCCCTTAGCCTGTCTAATCACCTTCTTTTGATTTTGTTACCATAGATTGGAAATTGCAAGGAGCTGCTATGTACAGAATTTATAACCTAGTCCTGGGACTGTTTTCTTTGAGGTCTGCTCTGTCAGCTGCTCTGAAAAAATTTACTGTAGCCTACTAATCAGAAATCTTTGAGAAGTATTGAGGAGCTACCTTGCATGTATATATAACATGATGGTTGTTTTGTACTTGCTGAGCTTCTTACATGATGGGGACATGTGCTGTTCTCTTCAGGTATCAGGATTAATGCTTCAGAGAATTGAAAACACCTGAATTGTTTAAATTGGTCTAGGTAATTTTGAGAGCTTGTGAATTTTACAGTTCTTCCCTCTGTCCCGTTAAAAGAGTAGGTACCAAAAAGTAAGACTGATGAAATGCTTCAAAAATAAAGCCCATGCAAGTGAAAAAGAAGATTGGGAAGAGAGGGATGTAATGACTACTACTAATAAAGACAAGCATTTAGTGTAGGGGAAAAATTTTTTGAGAAGTTTAAGCACTGGGACCTAACATGTGCTGCACAATAGTCTTGAGTCCACACTTACTCCTTCTGAAAGTCTAGAACTGAGTTGCAAGACTGTGTAAATAATTCAGAAAACTGTCCTTGATTATCAAATGTCAATATTCTTTTTTTTTTTCCTTTCAGCATTTCATGAAGTCTCCGTTTACCCACAGAAGGAACTTCCCTTTTTCATCCATTTCACAGCAGGCCTATGTTCCTTTTCGGCAATGCTTGCCCTCCTTACGCACCAGTTCCCTGAGCTGATGGTCATTTTTGCTAAAGCTGTAAGTATTGTCTCTGTCATGGGGCTTGCTTAGGTAACTTGTGGGATCTTTGGGAGTTTTGAGGTCCATGGTTAAGTATGTTCTAGTCAGTCTCATGCTTGTGGGGCATGAATTATTTTCTTTTGTAAGAATCTAGTGACAAACACTTGCTGAAATTTGGGCAAAATGTCTATTTTGACAAGAAGGTGAACTGTTACTATAACATACCGTGGCTTTAATTTGCACTCTTATGGTGAGAGAGCAGCATTTCAGCACCAGAGAAATTTTGTCACAGAGCACTGTGTTGAGTATGGATTTTATTCTCATAGAAGTGGAAGACTGCAGTGTGAGAGCCTCAAAAAATAAATTTGTTGATTGGAGATTTTGAGAAGTGTGTAAAAGGCAGGCTGGACTGCAGGAAAAACAGGTCTCTTGAGCACTGGAAACTAGTAGCATGATGTGAATGAACCAATGAGAACAGAGGAAAAGTAACTGTTGACTTCCAAGCCAGGTTCAGAAGTTAGTTAGCTGTCACCTTTTGGGAACTAGACCAATGGGTTTATATCTCATCTGGCTCCAGTTACTAGAGAGAATGCATTCATTGACCACAGTTCTGTCATTTGAGTACCTGTTCAAGGATAGAAACTGGACTTGACAGTGGCAGTGAGGCTTTTAGCTAGATACATTTCTAATCTGTGCTGCTGCTTTAAATGTATCCAAGTATGTCTGCTGTTGAGCCTTTTGTTCCTATGGGATCCTTCTGTGCCCATCTCCTTTCTCCCTCTGCCCTGCTCTTTTTAGGGTTTCTTTTCCTTGGTTATCTGTTAACATTGCTGCTGGCTGTAAGCTTGTCATGTTTCCCTGGACTCTGAAAGCTGTGCTGACTTACTTTGGCAGAGGGAGAAGCTGTATAGGCAGCTTCCCCTCCTCAGTTCTCAAACTAAGCCATGCAGTATATTCAGCCTTTATTGAACTGTGAATCTCATGCAGTAGAGCAGAGTGGCAAATAAAGAGCTCTGACCTCTCAATGAATCATGTATTCTAGCTTTGCAAGTCAAAATAGAGGTTGAAAGGTGTTGTGTTTTCTTGCTGGTTTAATGCAACAGGTAATGGAGACCTGGGAGGTAAGCCTTTTTTCTTAAGACTGCTTTGTTCCTAAAAGCGTTGGCTTTGCTAGCAATTCTAGTCTACAGTGTCCAAGTCATGCAGGTCTGAGAGTGGGGCCTCATTTCCACACAGTTCTGTTGATCTTTATGTTGGAAAATGTAGTTGGACATGCCAGTGACAAATTTCAGTGCGGCTCATAATTGGCTGGGATCATAGTAACTAGGGTCTAACTATCTGCTTGATTAATTCTGTAAGGACTGCATTAGTAAAGTTGTATGATTTCCAAAGAGATACAAGGTCAAATGTTATGCTAACAAAGAATTGCTTGGTAAAGTTCTCTCTGCTGGGTTTCTTGAACCAAAAAAAAAAGACTTTGTAGGAGTTAGTTGGCTTTGCATAATGGCATTTTGAATGTCAAGTGACATGTCCAAATGCGGGGAAAAAACTCCCAGGGTTTGGTCATTTTGGCAGTGTGTTTATTTCGCTTGTTTTCTATAGGAAAAGATAGATAGTGTCTGTTCAGCTGAAAAGAATGATCAAGAAGCATGCATATTGCCGCATCATTCCACCGAGGCACGGTGGTGGCAGGCACGGACGAAGGGGTTCTTGCCACTCACTGTGCTAGTTTAATACTGGCAAAAGTGGAAGCTGTGTATTGAGATAAACAGACAAAAAGTGAATTCTGTATTAATCTCTTGAGACTGACAGCTGAGAAGGAAATACCATCTTCCAGTATTGTGCTATTTTAGATAGAATTAATGTTAGCTCCCAGTCACACTCTAATGACTAATATTCTTCCTTATTTTAATTATTAGATTATTGTACTCTTGATCCCATTCCTGATGTTTTCAGAAGCATTCAGAAAACTTGTAAGAAACAATGATATTCAATATCAAACTAACACTTCTGATTTTATTCATAGATTGCTTCAGTATTTTAACTATAGATAATGCTGTGATTGCTGCTAACACTTCATAAAGCATTATCTCTTGTGTTCTGGAGGTATGTGGCAGTAGCATCTAGTTGAATTTTCATAATGAAAATGAAAGTTTACCTTCTCTTTAATGACACCTGCCTCTCCACCTAAGAAAACTGTAATAAAACAATTATTATTTGCTGTATCTAGTGTTATATCTGCAGGTAATTCCAGTGCTTTAAGCATTCTGAATGAAATTATTTTTTCCTGTGTATGTCATTATTTCAAGTATTTTTTCATGACACTGTTTTAACTTGCTAAATATAGTAATTTGAGATAATAAAGTTCTAGATGGTAGATAGCTGGAGTGCTTTGGCCTTACCGAAAAAGCGATACAAAATATGTTTCCAACAAATTGTTGAATTGTTGGATTTCCAGCAAATCTAGAACACAGTTTTAGGAATGACAATTGGAAAGTATTGTGTATACGGAATTTTTCACTGTAAATCTCTAAGCGACTTAAATATGACTCCTTAGATTACATTTCAGTTACTTCTTACTCAAACTGTTATTTCCAGCAATTGAATCTACAGCAAACTGCATGCCTCTAAAGGGTTTTAAGAAGTTGAATACCTTTCTATTGACTTGAAAAGTCTGAGTTTACATATTTTCATTTGCTAGTGCTTGAGTTTGTTTCCTCCATAATAAATCACAGGGTAAACCTTGGCAAATTGCTAAAAATATTGTAAGTGGCCAAAAATCACAATGAAGCATTTACTGGTTCCAATGTATACAGCGTAATACACCATCAACAGAGACTTGAGCACTGGCACCGGCTGTGAGTTGGCTCCCTCTGGAACGGGAGGCAGTCCTGCCTCTGTGCTCCCTGGCCCTGGGACCAGGCGCCGGAGGGATTTTTGTTGTGTCTTGCACAGGTGGAAGGGTTTGCAGGCACTAGGGACTGGTGCTGGCAGAAGTGCTTAGCATTTATGCGTCCAGTTAGAGCCAACTGTGGCTTGTTAGTTCTCTTGCAACTCGGACTTTTAATGTTCTTTGACTAAGGGAAGATGTACCATGTGAGTCGGTGCCAGTGAGGACAGTGGAACAGGCAGCGCTAGAGAGCTCCGTATGACCTGCAGTATGAGTGCAAGTGCTCTCAGTGGGTAAGACCTCAGCCTTGCTCTTTGTTTCAGATAGATTTCTGATCTCGTGGAGAATCACTCTGTTCTTGATCATCAGAGACAGCTCTGTTTCTTAAGTAGTTGCTGTTCAGAATTTTCTCAGTAAGTGACAGAAGGGAGGAGGTACGCAAAAGGGATGACAATCTATACAGTTCACTGAGCAAGCTGAAAAATACTCTGTTACATAAAACAACTTCTTTTGAAACTGCAGGCAAAAGGGTCTGATTATTTTTCCATTCAGTGTGAATTTTTATTAATAATTACATAGGTGGAGAACTGGGTAGCTATACATCATCTTGCAAAAGTGATGTTGCACAATTCGTTCTGTATTATCTTATAAAGACACTGAGGAGTCTGCCTTCAAGAAAACTAGAGATGCAGAGTGACAGCAGGCACTGTGAATAGTCTTCTCAGAAGTTCCTGAAAACAACTAACATGCTTACCTTCCAAGCAAATCAATCCCATTTTTTAAGTCCAAACCTTATGCTACTGGAATAGACCAGTATTAGTTAATGTTAAAGTATTGAAAAAATATTGCAGCAGTGTTCCTGCTGAAAACAACTTCCTTGTTCAGGGAATTGGACAAAATTCTAAGACAGTACATGTTCCAAAGTGTTATGATATGGATCGCTTGATATTTTCACAACACAGAAAGAAGTCATGGGACTTAAACTAAAAATTGGCTAATTTTTATGGTTGCAAGATTAGGAGAAAACATTTCTCATTCTGGTTGTTCTTTAGCTCCCTGTTAGAGGATTCCTTGCCATTTTGCTGATGGCAGCCATCTAGAGACACAAAATAGGACTAAACAGAGCCCCGTCTGGCAAGTCCTGCTTTCTGTGACACTCTGCTTTACTTTCTGAACAAATCCCCCTACCACTTTCCCCAAAGCTCATTAAGTGAGACTGGAGAATTAACTTTTTAGCCAGCTGCTGAACTTTTCATATTTATAAACACTTGAGTCTTTTGCTTATCTAAGAGAAAATGTGTATAGTTTGGAGATGTGCACTTCCCTGCCAATGTGTAATGAGTGGTTCTACACTTCATAGAAAAAAAAGCCTGAAGTTTCCTGTCACAGCTGAGTGTCGATGCCAAGGGCAAAGGTTTCTTGCCTTGCTAATCTACATCTTAACTCATGCACTTAATGTGAAGGTGCCACACGCAAACAGGCAGGGAAGAAGCTAGCTGCGATGAAAAGTTCCTGCGCTGCTGTGAATGTTATGTTTTAAAAGCCTTTTTAATGTAATATTTGAGGTTATGATAGAAGCCAGGAGGGCCAAAGTAAAACCCTCAAAGTAAATGAGTCCTGTCATTGCTGCCTCATGAAAAGAGGGTTTGTATGAGGATAACACGAGTCCCAGCAGAATACTTGGGGGATGGGTTGAGAAGGTGCAGGGGAGTTTGTGCCATTTGTTTTAGCCTAATCTTTATTTCTGGAACTATTTAGATGGCATCTAAAATATGGATCCTGTCTGGAAGCATGGGCCAGTCTTGGTGGACGGTCTGTTCGGTTTTCACACGTTTGAGTCGATGACCTATAAATAATCCATGCCTGAATATCTGAGAAAATACATTACCCTTCTCCCCAGTCTGTTCAACACTGAAGGCACACTGCTCAGAGCAGCTGGAAGAGTTGTAGCACAGAGAAACGCCGTCCTAACCCCTCCTGCTTCTGCCTAGGTGCTGCGGGTGCTGTGGCCTGTGACTGCTCCCAGCGTTCTGGCCTCAAGCTGAGTGGACCATGCCGGGGTGAGTGGACAAGGCTGGAGCTGTGGCTTCCAGAGGGTTTTTTCTTTTGTGTGCCTTGGCTAATATTTAATGTTTACTACAAGCCTATTTCGTGGCATCAGCATTGAAGGGATTGTAGCTCTGTTGCCTTGAGGGAAAGATATAGGGTGGTTTTTTGTTCATACCTTGAGCCTGTAAAAGGACATTGGTTTTGAAACTGAGCTAATTTGTTGTTGTGTTCTGTTTCTTCCAGTGCTTTGGGACTCTTTCACCTTTCAGCTTCATTATGGAAAATATTGAGGTCCTCCTGCTCTCCAGTCTCTGGCATCCACTGACTCCAGTGTGACTGGAGTGTGCTTTCCACGATGGTTCAATTTTGTTGTTCTCACAAGCCTCCCCCTCTGGTGGTTAGCTGACCCCTAGACATGGGGGGCAAGGAAGAAAGCTGGGCTATTCAAACTGATATCTTTGACAGGCTTCCATGTTAGTAATGGTGCTTAACGTATGAATTTCTTCTTTGGCCTTAGTCTGTAATCATCTAAGAAAATAGTTTTTGTTGAGCAATACCTTATTGCTCTCTTAATCACTTGTACAACTGGAAGCTAGTACTTCCTCTGTAAGAAAGGAGAGGACACAAACTGAGCAGATGTTTGGAGTATTGACACTTCCTTCTCAGCTGCAGATGTACCAGATAATTGGCTTAGATTTAATTTTATAAACCTTTCTCAAAATATTTGTTAACAGCAAAGTATGGTTCTGCTTTCTTTATTAAAAGGTTGCTTCTTAACACATTGAATTTGTTGACTTCTTAAGCATCTGTTTAATATAGATTATAGTGTGCAAACAAAGATTGTTTCTACTGTATCCTGTGAGCTTGCATTACGCAAGGACATGGTAGTATAAACTCCTCTATTTTGTATTGTTACTTGTTTAGATTTAATTGTGCATCTTCTGTCTTTCAAACCACTTTACCTTGAAGAACAGGATGGCTTCTGAAAGTGCCAAAAGTGGTTGTGACGTTTGCATGGGAGTCTTTTTGGGAGACCTGAATTTTCAAGCGTTAGTCCAAAGTACTGTTGTTGTTGATATCAAGACTTGAAGAGAACTGAGATGTGGAGCACTCTTCAAAGGAATTGCTTCATTATACAGACCAGCCACAAGGGTTTGTTTACTGCAGAGGTGAAAAGATGGTGGTGGCAGCCAAATGGTTTGAGGTAACTGGTGTGACCTCCATTTCCACTCTCCCCCATTAGAGAAAATGTCTACTTTTTCACATTCAGGTCTGGTGCTTGGCACTGAGGAAGCAGTCATGTTGGCCAAGGCTTTGTAGAAGTGGAGGTGATAAAAATTGCACAGGCTTGTGGATAAGTGCTAATTCTGAGCACATGAAAAGTTGTCCATCATCTTATGTGTTACAGATAAGCACATATACTTACCCATAATAACTAGGGAAATTTCACATGTTCAGTCTTCACTGATCTTTGTGAAGGATTGATGTAAGCTGTGATGTTGATAGTTTCTTTCAAAGGTGTTGTAAATTATTCTAGTTTCTGAATCCTGGGTGGATGAAGCTTGCTGTAGCTTACTATATTCTCTGAAATAATACCTAAATCAATCAATTATGGGTCAATTTGAGTTGACCTATAATCTGTCTTGATGCAGAAGACTGAGAAATACTTTTTTATTTTCTTTCCCGTATCCTCCTTTACCTTGTAAACAAAGTACTATGAAGTGGACAGTCGCCTATGCATCTCATGTAAGTGTAGCTTATTTGTAACTCTGGCTAAGAGGAAACACATGTTTGCGTAGAAATGCCATTGTTACTCTCCACTGTATATTTCTATTGACTGGGCTTTAATCCAAGTTAAATACTTGAATTCATTGAGGAATCAAGAGGGGAGCCTGACAGAAAGGTACTACCAAATTTTTTTGAGTTGCCTAACTACTAGTAGGTAATTTTCTCAACTAACTTTCCAGTTGAATATGCCATTGGGGCTGTTTCTCACTGTGGAATCATGGTGGTGATTAATAGATATGTTGTGTTCATGTAATTTCACTTCTTGGTCCGCAGGGGCCCATAAGGTAACCAACCTAATGCTTTTTAAAGTTGAACATTTTCCAGCATTTGTGTGGGGTTATAAATGAAGTACTGCCTCCCATGTATCATCCCAAGAGCTGCTTTCTTTCACTGTCCTCCCCTGACATAACAGTAACAGAAAGGGGATGGGCTTACACTGAAAGTGTAGCTGGCAACAGGCTATGTAATGAAAATCTTCCTGTCTCTCTAGAAGTGCCAGTAATTCTTGAGGAAGGAGGAGCTCTCTGTATGATTTCCTACCAGGATTGTTCAAGCTTTATAGAACATTCATTTGCCAGTTAGGAGCAGGGCCTTACCACCTGATCCATACCATAGTAATACCCTATCACTCCACATGCAGTTAAGTTGCGTGCATGTATATATATGAAAAAAATTACAATTATCACTCGGGACAGGTAAGCATTGATTGTTGCCATTTCCTGAAACATGCACTAGGGTGACATTATAGCTGTTGGGGTGGCAAAAGCCTTTGCATAAGGCTGTATGTGATGTTAGTAGACTTCTCAAATTTTCATTTTGTTGAGAATAGCCAGTGAAAGTCAAGGAACTTGAAAATCAGCATTTATTTATATACCTGATACTAATATGTGTATTTGTAAAACAGGGTAATGATAGTCTCTGATTCATTTAGGCAGGATTTGAGTTTGGGGTGGGTTTGGTTTGTTGGGTTTTTTTGTTGCTCGCATTGTCTCACCATGTCACAACAGATTAGTTTTTGATCAGAATGTCCAGGAAGAGGAATGCTGCATTTCTTCCTGCCAACCTCTTACTTTTCCAGAAGTAATCTCCAAAAAGGACAGGAAGGGAAGGAAGGAGAGAAGTGTTATCACAGATAGTAAAGCTATTGTTTGTGAGGCAATTAGGCAACTAAATTCTTGTGTGAATTTGCCCTGTCTTACCACTGATTTTAATGAAAAGTGTCTAAAGATCTTTGTGATTCAGGACTTCTATTGCGTATGCATCTGGAGAGGAAATCACACAAGCGTGATTTGTTATTATTGAAACAACTTTCTAACACTGGCTGACTTTAAATGAAGTATTTGGAAGTTAATACCTAAATGCTGTTGGCTATTTAATGTCATTTAGACACACTAATCTTTGAGCCTGACAAATGTCCATCAGGTGTACTATTCCTATATACCTACTTATCTGAGGAATTAATAAGTTTGGAAGAGTGACTGCTGTGGCTTTGGTCTGTAACTGGCTCTTTGTGCAAGTAGGAGCGTTTTGATCCAGCATATTGTAATGGCACAGTGGGTGCTACCAGTGTTCTGCAGTGACTGGTACCAGCTGCCCAGGGAAGGGTGCAAGAGCAAGCCAAGCATGCGCCTGTCTCCAGAGCACTCTCCAGCCACTTGTGTTGCAGGATTGTCTCCTCCAGAGATGGTGACTTTGTACTGAACAGCTTTCAAGGGGTAAAATTTTCCACTGGCTACTGGCGCTACTATAATAATAAAACTCTTAAAGCAGCGGTGAGGCAGTTTAGACTAAAATATTTCTGAGTAACAGGGTCTGCTCAAGGGCTTGTAAACCACATCAGAATTATCCTCTGGGGAATGAGCTCTCTTGCAGTTATTTACCATGCTGTGAGCCCTTCGTTCTTTGAAACTAGGGACAGATAAGCTAGTGTTACTAGCCTTCATGCATGTTTGTATGTGGCAACAGGACTTTTCATGCCATCAGAAACCCCAGTCACCAAGTTTATGTTGACAAATTCATAGTGGAGATGGTCACCTCTTAGCCCTGGCTGCTGCACTGGAGTGGTTCTCAGTCTGGGTTTGTCACAGGCCAGCTCCCTTCCTGCATCTCGTCTGGCGCTGGCCAGGCTTGTTTATTCCGTGCTCCTCGTCCTGGAATTGTTGTGAGGGTGCCAAGGCTTGTAGATCCATGACTCTGAGCAAGGCAGGGTTTAAAGGTCATAGTCAAGACCATTAATAACAAGGTGCAAACGGCTGGTTTATATGTAATGTGAAGCTTTTTACTTATTTCATTTTTGCACTTTGGGGGCTCTGTTTGCTTATGGAGCACTTGGTGTCTGGTACCTATTTAGGCTGAGAGCAGGCAATTGGGTTCCTTCAGGCCTTCAGAGGAATGCAGAAAATTGTTCTCTGGTGTTGTAATTCTGCTGGGATAACTGGAGCTTATTTGTCTCACTGCTTATTAAATGCATACTTGTCTTGAGGTCCTCTTTTTTTTCTGAGAAACATTGGGTGAATCCCAAGGACCACAAGTGAGAGGAAGATTCCAGGGGGAGGGGGAGAGTGAAGTGTCTGCACCTCTCTACAAACTGCATCATCCGCCTCCAGTGCCAGCAGGCTGAAGAGGTTAAATAGCAGAGCAAACTCCCTTAGAGAAAAGGAGACGTACGTACGGGGCTCATACAGGCATAAATTAATTTTCCCTTCCCCCTGCCCAGAGAAGACACTGGGGAGATGCACCTCCCAACCTACTAATACGGGGGGGTGTGGTTGGGAGCCACGTGAGGCTGTGCTGAGGTTTCAGAATGGGACCAGCTGTGGAGGTAGGGAGCAGATGTGCACTGGTGCTGTATCCTTAGCAGAGGACAGTATCAGTAGCAAGGGCACAAAGAGCAGATGGGGTTCATACTCTACCAGCCTCTGAGTGGTACCCAGCTTGCCCTGTTTTGCTGTTAAAAAGGACAGACAGACTTCCCTTCTCTGTTCTGCTGTACAGCTGTGTAGGTGACATGCTGATCTGCTTATGGGTCAAAAATCTCTTAAATGTCAGGTCACATTGACAGTCGCAATCATAGTGGGCTTCTGTGTACAGTCTTCTGTGGTCTGAATTCACCCAACTTCTAATAAAGGTGGATAGAGAGGAAGGGCAGCTTCTGTTTCCATCTCTGTCTCTCGTCTCCTGGCTCCCTCCTCCTTTTCTGGAGCCTCCTGAGTGGGGCGTGCTCTGCATGCCCCAGCCCTTAGCACTGTAGGAAGAAGACAGTGATGAGGGATGCTGCTCATGTGCTTGGAATTTTCCTCATTTCCAGCTTTGGTTGTTGTATTGTGCTTTTTGGTAGGCCCTTTGGTGAGCCTGGTCGTTGGGGAAAGCTAGATAACACACCCACACTTACTGCATCAGTAAGGGTGCATCCATGAAGATGAGTATGTTTCTCCATTGGGGATCTTCTTGTTTTGGTTGTTTCTGGCCAATGACATTTTCCTTCTTCTCTGGATGCATTGAATTGTGCAATCATACCGTGGCCTCATCAGCTTGGGCCCTTCTCTTAAGAACCTCGATTTCTTTTCTAATTTGGCTGTAGGCTATCATCAGTTATAAAACAGCGTGACACAGTATGTGGCTATTGCATTCTCCTGCACTGACTCACCAGCTGAGATTCCAGAGCAGTAACCCCCCTGCTGCTAGCTGGAGCAGCCCTCCGTGACTCGCCTTCAGTAATAAGGGGTGTGAAAGCTCCCACACGGATCTTGACAGGTTATGCAAATGTTAGTCAAAATGCCCCACTAAATCTGTCCCTGAGAGCTGGACCTGTTACAGCAGATGACCCCCACAGAGCACGCTGTTGTTGGCACAGGTACACAAGCGAAGCCTTTTGTGCACGTATGAACGCGATGGTGAACAGAAAGGGCCCACGGCAGTGACAAGGGGGATTTGGGACTGGGGTGTAGCTGAGCAGTGTATACACTCTGCATTGCTGGGGTTCAAAAACTTAATCGATCTCACTACTACATCCATCCAGAAAAATGATGGTGTCACCTCGGCTAAGGCCTGCTCTCACTTGCACATGGTTTAGTAGAGAAAATACCCTGAATTTATGTGGATCCCATGTTTCCAATGCCTTCTACCTCCTCCTGTGTGTCCTGTCCAGCTTCTTCAGAGAAGGTAATTTATTCAGAAGCTCATTAAGCAATTAATTCTGCTCCTTGTCCTTGAGTTTGGACATGCTTTTGACTGGAGGATAATTAGAAGATGATCTTGCATAAAAGGCTCCCTGCACATTTTAGGCAGATTACTTAGGAGGGGCTTGTGAGAGGAACTGAGTGTTCCCTGACAAGACTGCAGCCTTCATAAACGTTTAAAGATGGAAAACATCTGCTTGCTGAGGATGAGTGTGCTGAAGGGGAGCTTCAGTAGGGCTCATTGGTGGGAAGACATAGACCGGTCTGAGTTTCCTTCAGCCTGCCATGGGACATCTTCCTGAACAAGCACTGGGAGTCAGCTCTAGCTAACCAGTGTATTTCTGATTCCCAGGCATTGTGCTTTTGCTAATTGCTTGTTAAGAAACAAGGAGTGTAGTCTTGCATAGCCTTTTGCAGAAGAAGTGCTCACCTCTTCTGTCAGGTAGACTCGAGCTCGTTGGGCTGTCTCCACAACTGCTCCTCTGGGTGCTTCTGAACTACTTGTACCTGCTTCCAAGTATTTTTACTCCTCTGATT